ATTCCTAAATGACCCAACTTCTTTCTAAATGAATTTCATTTTACATTTAAGAATATACTTTCCTTTTAAATTTATATATATTTTTGTGTTTCTAAGAAAAATCAATTTATAAATTATATTTATATGGCTTTTAACATTTTCGACAACGCAATATATTTATCTGATTAGTGACATTGCAATGTATTTATATTTTTTATTTGTTTAACAATGCAGATTTCAGTGTTTAAAACTTTTTTCATATATCCTATTGAACAACAAAAACTTGTGATATCCCCCAAAAAACACTTACGTGTAAAAAACTACGCCAAGTACAGGATTGCTGTGAATTCCTCTAACAAAAAGTATTGATATCATATTATTGAGGCCAAGTACATAAGTCACTACATGTTTTCCTATTATATGATCTAGCACTGGCCCATCATTTTAATTATATTTTCAATGTTTCCTATAACGTTTTCGCTACTCTTTTATGTTACTGCTGCTTCCCGTATTTAATTATGATTTAATGGTGATTTAATAATTAATAAAACTTTAGGTGATTTCTTATTGAGTACTACTTGGCGGGTCCTATATTACATACATATGTTTATAGAATACACATTGTATATCATCTCTCAACTTGATTGCAATGGAAACTTAGTATTTTAATAACCCAAATTAATCTGTATACATTTAGCCAATACATAATTAATACAGTTATTGTACTCATATACGTATATTCTTCTATACAGAATCAAAAGAAACAAAGTTTATTATCCAATTAAAAATGAGAAATATATACATGTTTCATGTTAATGTGTGACCTCTTGTGTTAGTTTTTGTATTCTTAGTGGAAGTAAGTTCACCAATTCTTTACACACACTTAATTCAACTTGCATAGCTTCATTTGCTTTCTTATCTTTCTCACAATACTCAACTAAAAATTTATAGGCATTTAAACTATTTTTTACATTTTCTAATTGTAAAGATTTGTCAGGTGTCACTATCTTATTATATAATCTTCCAAGATGAAAATATGTGCAAAGAGCAGGTCGTATCATATCATCTGAATATTTTTTAGTTATGCCATCTGGCACACCAGCATCTTGTATCGAATTCAAGAATTCTTGAAAATTTTTGATTGCATTCTTTGCTAGATTATTGATCTTGGAGAGGGCATGGGGTGTTGGACTTTCTTTGGATGTATGAAAACGATCCAGTTTGATGTCTAAAATATCAGAGTATGTTTCACCCAATTCCATCCAAATTTGTCTGCATACAGCTTGATAGTATCGATGATTTAATTCAGACAGCACATTCTCAAGTATAACTATTCTGCGTTTATGCATTTTAGCTTGTCGATTTTCATCTTCTTCAAAGAATGACAAGTATCTATAAGCTTGTGAAGCATCTTGCTCAATCTGTACATAATCAGATGCATGAGATTCCAAATTGTAATAGGTTTTTGCTTTTTCTAACCATTTCTGAGAATTAAGAAACACTGCTCTTGCATCATTGAAGTCTAACAAATATTTGTCTGTTACCTGATTAGCAAGAAACGTGATTTCTTTTTCTATTGATATAAACTTAAGACTTTCCAAACACTTTGCAGTTATTTCAGATTGGGGATCTAATTCTACACTTGGAGTGGTTTTATAAGGTCTATTATCATAATTTTCAGATTGTTGCATTAATCGTTCTCTTGATGCACTTAAGAGTAGTATGCCATATTTTGCCCAACAGCGAGAGACATCTGCATTCCTGTGCCTAAAATTTTCCCATTTGGCAGCCATATTGTCATCATTGGGAAATTCTTCTTGTAAACTTTTTAATTGTTCTTCGTATTTTGATAGAATATAGGATGCTGCTGCCAAATGATATCTGGCTTGGCAAAATCCTCCTTTTTCCATGAAAAATTGCGATAATGTTGCAGCATTCAAAGCCCATTCCACTTGATCTAAATCCTTGTCATTAAGTTGCCTTCGTAATGTCATGTGGCAATAAACTGCTGATTTTAGATGATCTTTCAAAGCACCATATATTTGTGCAAGATAATAGAGAGTTAAAGTATGAAGCTTCTCCAAAATCTCCATTGCATCTGGTTCCTCCTCTTCCGTGGCATTAAATAATTTTGCCATATTAATTGGGTGGTGAAAATTTTTCTGTGCAATGTAATCCTTATAAATGCCTTCAGCTCGTTCCAAAAAGACTTTAGACTTTGTAGGTTGATCTCGTTGAGACCACAGAATTCCTAATTGATTCAGTGCACTAAGAATAGGTAAAATACATTCTGGTTGTAGCTCCCATTCATTTAAGAGATCAATGCAGTTAGTAAGTTGTTCTTCACCGCTAGCAAGATCTTCAGTATCAACTGATACAATTCCCAAATTTAACCACAAAATTGCAAGCATTGTAGTGATAGTATGTTCTTGTTCTTTAGTCAGATTTTTATCGAGAATATGTACTATTTTCGTGCGCATCTCCTTTAAAATCTCCATTGCAGAATATTTACTTTTATAGGGCTCACTTTCAGGATCCTGTTTACTATATTCATCTAATAATTTTCGTACTTTCATGTACTTTTCTTGAAAATCTACTAAGACTTCTTTGGGCACTGCCTTAGATTCCATTTTGATATTAAAGTGGATTATTGTTCAGTTAAGTTTTTCGATGTTTTAGGTTAAGATATATAAATTATAACACCTGACATGCAATTAAATCCTTCCTTCCTTTCCTTATGACCACATACCACTTATTGGAGACATGGCACTCCCGTGCTTTAGACTGTTAGCACGAGCAGCAGCGCCACCTTATCGGTAGGTCGTATAAGTAACGTGATATATATATATAGGTTGTAACGTAATTCTTTGACTTGACCCGACACCGATAGCAAAACATACG